GAGAGAGAGAGAGAGAGAGAGAGAGAGAGAGAGAGAGAGAGAGAGAGAGAGAGAGAGAGAGAGAGATGGATACTTAAGGAGACCCTGGATATCTCATTGATATTTCCGTATGTGCGGGCGTAGCCGCACTGGCTTCAGTTTTGGATTTTTAATTGACATGTGCGAAGTTCACCGATTAATGCTACTTGGTTTTGTGTGTGATTCTGTCGGTGGTGTGGAATTGCACAAGGTCGGTGAGTGACACTGCTGCTGCTGTTGTTGTCACGATAAGAAGTGTTTTCTCTCTACGTGCTACCACACAGGCAAGTTGGAAGAGTTCTTCTCATGGCCGGCGGTCAGATTGGTACTCATCTCAAGCAGAGGAACTTCATCAAGTCTGTTCTCTCACATGGCCCGCTGGCTGGCTCTTGAGATGCCCTTTCGCAACGGCGCTTTGCCGCAGACACGACACGTGACAAACCCTTATCTATCCCAGTTTCTGCTTACCCACACATCATCAAGACTGGTGTGGGATGCAAAGGAGTCCTCTTGGGCTTCGACATTCTGGTCGCCGACTTCGCGTCTTGATCGAATACTAAAGCAACCACCGACCGGTCGTGGGCAAACCCTCATTCCGGATGCCGGCTTTGTGCAGAACCCGTTGACTGAGCGGTCGTGGGTCGGCAGAGGCAGAGGGGAGTGCTGCGTGAATCCGGATCCGGACCGGGGTGAACAACGATTCCGAATCTCGAGCGAATGCGACCGAAGTTGGCGGGAACGTATTATTAGCGGTCGTTGGAGCTTGAGGAGTTCTGATTACCCCGAGACGCTGTCGAGATTCGTAATACCAAGATCCAGGCACGAGGGAGGTGGGCGGGATTGCCGTTGCTTTTCAGTAGATCCGGAAGGAAGGAGTCACACATGCGTTGGGGGGGGGAAAAGACCTCTTCTGTCTATTCTCCCTTGCTTACCTGCAGCACGATCTACACACTTCCGCAGCCATAGCTTGAGCTGGGAGTCGGGCTTTGAGCACAGAATTAGGGTGTCAAACGCCACAACTGCTGCTCAATCAGCAGAGCTGAGCAAGGCAATGGCTCCAATGGACTCACCCACTCTCTTGGAGGAGAAGAAGCGCTGCAGAACCGTTGTTCGCAAAGAGTTGCGTCAGCTTCCAGTTCAGCAGCGAATGGAGGAAGATGTGGCGGTGATTGGCAATCTGATTGATTCTGAGCTGTTGCAGAACAGCCGTGTGATTGGCGCATATCTGAGCTGTGCGGCGCTGAGGGAGGTGGACACTTTGAAGCTGGTCACCTACATTCTGCAGCAGCAGAAGGCACTCTATGTCCCGCGCGTTGATGACAAGAAGAGTCATATGCGAATGCTGCGGATCACCGACATGGAGGGCGACGTAGAGAGGAACGCGATGGACATCTTGGAGCCGAAGGAGGTGAACACGGATGGCAGCCCGAGGGATGAGTTGATGCAGGCAGATCAGCCGTTGGATCTGCTGCTTGTGCCCGGACTTGCGTTCGATCGACACGGAGGGCGATTGGGAAGAGGCGGCGGATACTATGATTGGTTCATTAGCACGTACAGGACATACGTCGAATCGAAGGGCTGGAAGATGCCGCCAATGGTGGCTCTATCTTACTCGGTCCAGCTCAGAAGCACACCCATCCCCATGGGAGAGGCAGACCGCCACGTGGATGGAATTGCCATGAAAGACGGCATTTTCCACGTACCTAACCGCGCTCTCGATGCAAACACCACCACCAACACGAGCAAAACTATCAAGGCGGATGAACCAACCATCACACGTACATAAATCCCCATCCCCTCCCCCATCCCCATCCCAATCCCAATCCCAATCCCAATCCCAATCCCAATCCCCATCCCCATCCCCATCCCCATCCCAATCCCAATGCCAATCCCAATCCGTCCATGCATGCATTTATCCGTCTGTTCATCCACCAGTATATTGATGAAAACACTTAATTAGTGGATTCAATCAAGGCAATCAATTGGTGACAAGACTTAATTAGTGGATTCGATCAAGGCAATCAATTGGTGACAAAACTTAATTTGTGGATTCGATCAGGGCAATCAATTACTGAAAGCATGGTATGATATCAGTGGATACGATGAGAAGACATCAAAAGCTAATGAACACAAAAAAAATTATGAAAAGCAACCAATCACAGTATAATCAATCAATCAATCAATCAATCAATCAATTAATCAATCAATCAGTCAATCAATCAATCAATCAATCAATCAATCAATCGATAGAGCAATCAATCAATCAACCACAACAAAGACAGCAATCAATCAAATTGAATTGATGAAATCCAGAAAGAATTTTTTTGAGTAAAGCGCATCTATCCACGTGGCCGCCAACCAATTAAAAAGCAATCTCCCTCCGGGTCACGGATTGATATTGTCAGCTTTAGAGGTCATCCCCCTTTGTCTTCGCTCATGCTGCTTGTGAGAGCGAGAGACAGGTCGTAGGCAGCGTTGACTTGACGGGCAGGCGTTGACTTGACGGGGGTACGTGTGCAGAACAGAGTCGGGAGGAGACAATTGACAGTTGGACATTTTTCAGATGAAAATTTGAAATGAAAACTGCAAATGAAAATATTTCAAATGAAATTATTCCGAACGAAAGTCCAAATGAGAAGTTTCAAATGAGAAGTTCGGAATGGAAGTTCCAATGAATACCCAGACATAAGACATATTCAGGAGTAATTTAAGAGCAGAGCGGCCCAATCACTTGTGGATTCAAGCGAAGCTTGTGGTGCGCGGTCGCCGCCTTTTTTGGACAAGAAGAAGAAGTATAGGTGCCTCTCCTCAGCTTATCAGACAGTACAGGCCGCTGTTTATAATCACTATGTTAATTATCAGTTCGTTCCTTCTTTCTCCTCCTCTTC